TGTACTAATGAACTAAAATGTGATTTAATGCTCTGTCCACTACCCTATGCTGAAGCTTCTGGGTCTTCCTAGACATTTCTGATCTATCTTTTGGTTTACACAAAACTATTTTATTAGAGGCGTGTTCTAGTTTGATGCCAGGTAGTTCTTTGAAAGAAATGAAGGTTGTACAAAATATGTGGATTTCCATGTTGTTGTTTGACATGGTCTGTCTGTGTAGCCCTGGCTGTCCTGCTTTATAGGCCAGGCTGACTCTAGACTTCCAGAGGCCTCTCTGCCTCTGCTTTCTGAGTACTGAGATTAAGAGATTTTCCTGTTCTTGGTATTTTAGTGAAAAAAAGGACTTGAATGCTCTTCTCACTAAATTTTGGAATAACTTAGTCTTTTCAAGCTCGCATTGTTCATTTGTATTTATACTACCTTAACATGAATTTAATGAAATGAAGTTTTATTTTTGTAGTTCATAATATTACTTTAATAGTTCTTAATTTTTAGGGTTTTTTTTTGGGGGGGCATGTCCTATAACTATTTGTATAGTTTTTATAGTTCTCATTAATATTCAATGATTGATAGAGTAGGGTATGCAGACTCTTTAATATTTAGCATAATATTGAAAGGTGGACACCATTTACTTTTAAGATTTTCAGAATATCATTTTAGAGTCAGTCTGTAATATTAGCAACATTTATCTTACATGACTATATGCTAATGCAGGAGGAAAGAAAGATCCTTACTAAAATCATGTTGCTAAACAATGTGATAGAAACCTTTCAGAACATCTTGAGGCTTCAGAGCAGTTGTAGTTACTCCAGAAGAGGTTTTGGCAAAGAGAAGACAACTGTGTATTGCACCTCTCATGTGAGCAGAACATAGAAATACCATTTCTGTCAGTTTCCCACTCAGCACACTTGGCTGCTGGGGGTGGGGTGGATACTAAAACCCCGCAGTGCCCCTGTGTTCTGTGCTGACCTAAGGCAGTAGAATGCTGGGTCTGTTAAATTTATCAATTAGGCTTTTGATAATAGCCACTGTGTTTTCCAGAAAGGTCTGGGAATTTGCCAACCAGCATGCTTTCCTCAGACAGAACTCAGGGTGACAGTGATGTTTCTTCCAGCCATTATCTGAGGAGGCCAGCTTGGCACAGGTGTGATGAGGTCACTGTAGGGCACAGAGGAAGGGTTTCTAGCTCACTTTTCGTCACTGCTGTTGAACATGGCCGTTCTCTTAAAGAACCCTGTAGTCAGCTTTATGGACACATTCCCTTTGGGGACTGCCCATGTTGCTTTATTTTCGATCACATGTTGACACAGTGCTCCACGTACAGAAACACATGTGTAAGAAAAGTAGACATTCCAAAATCAAAAGTAAAGGATATCTTGTACCCATGAGACCGCCCCTTAGTGTGTCCACTGATAATCGGCTAACCTTATCTCTGCTTTGTGTTTTGAGTTGGAACTCCCTGGCCAAAGGGCACAAACTAAGTTCACTGGGTTTGACTTAGCCCCCAGGCCCAGCTCTTCTGTCTAGAGAACAGAGATATTTGTAGTTGGAATGAAGGAAATAATGGCTGTTGTTCAGACTAGACAGTGGATGGAGTTGGGATGGTAGGAGGGCTGACAGGAGCACTCTCTCTGTAGACTGCTTTTCATGTCATCACATCCTGGCCATTCTCTAATTCATCTGATCCTTGCTCCTATGCTGCCAGCTGTCTTCAGAGTCTAGTCATGCTGCTATGTAGATACAGGTGTGTCTGCTTTGGGTCTCTAGTTCTGGCCGAATCCCTCTTAGTACGTTTTGTACACATAAAATTTATTTCAATCATTGTTGGTTGCTGTGATATAAAAGTATTTTTGTCACATATAGGTATGTAGCTATATGAAGAATTGGGAAATTTCTGCTTGTTTTAAGTTAACTATGAGTAAAATATTCCTCAGTGATTAAAATATAGCTCATGGCTCAAGGGATAATTTATATCACACAAACTACAAAAGCATCGAGACTTTACCCTACAGCTTCTTTGTGAGGATGGTGTCATGCTTAGCACCCGAGCGGGAAGTGGCCAGTTATTTGACAGCAAAATAATTACTTGATAGCATAGCCTGGGACTTGTAGAATAGCAGCAGCGAGAGAGTGGCAGGACAGTCAGGAGGAGAGCTGCAAAGATAGTTTGCAACTAGGTCTGACTCAGAGCGAGTGCAAGGTAGAGGGTCAGCAGCCAGGCTGTGAGCAGACTGTGGTATCAGTGACTAAACGTGCAGTGTAAAAGGTGAGGTCACGGGATGGAAGCAGAACAGGAAACTCACTGCATGAAAATTTTATGGCATCTTAGGACTTGGTAAAGAATGAGAGCCCTGTCACTCGATGTTAAGGCACATTGCAAGGCTCTTCAGAAGGGGGAGGCTTTGCTGCCACCAGAGGGAAGTCTTCAGCTCTGCCATGTGCTGAGAGGAAACAGACATGGATGCCAGGTACCTGGGCCTGGGAACGGTTTTAACATGTAGGGTTTCTATTGCTGTGAAGAGATACCATGACCACAACAGCTATTGTAAGGAAAAGATGTAATTGGGGCTGGCTTACCCGTTCAGAGGTTTCGTCCATTATCCTCATGGCGGGAAGCATGGCAGCATGCAGGCAGACATGGTGCTGGAGAAGGAGCTGAAAATTCAGTGTCCAGATCGGCAGGCAGCAGGAGGAGAGTCACATCTGAAACCTCAAAACTTACCTCCAGTGACACACTTCCTCCAAGAAGGCCACTCACTAGTGCCACTCCTGTCTATGGACCTATGGCCCATTTTCATTCCGACCAGCACAATACACTCCCTGCTTCTCATAAGCTTGTAGTAGCCATAGTATATAGTCCAACTTCAACGGTCTCCACAGTCTGTCACAGTATCAGCACTGTTTCAAAGTTAAAAGTCTCAGGGACTCACATACTCTCTTAACTGCAACTCCCCATAAAACCAAAATGAAAAATCGTATCACATACTTCTAACATATAATGGCACAGGGTACACATTACCATTCTAAAAGGGAGGGAAGGGAACACAATGAGGAAATAGTGGACCAAACAAGACCAAAAACCAGCTGGGCAAATGCCATATTCTGCATCTCCATAGCTAATGTCAAAGTGTTCTTCAGATCTTCCTACTCCTTTCAGCTTTGTTGACTGCAGCACATTTCTCTGTCTTGGGCTGGATCCACTTCCTGTTAGCAGCTCCTGTTGGCACATATCCCATAGCTCTGGCATCTCTAACATCTTTCAGTCTCAAAGGCAGTCCAGGCTTTACACAGTGGCCTTTTCAGGCCTCCATGCACATGTGCCTGGCCTCAGCGGCTTTTCTTACCCTGGAGAGAGAGTCCATAACCCCTTTATTCTTCCCTTGACTTTAAAGCCAGAACCATATGGCAGAAGCTGCTGTGTTCTCTTGCTGCCGAAGGCGGGACATGGTGCCTTTTTGTTCAGTTACATCTTCACTAGCTTTCTGTTTTCATTGTTTTCCTTCACTGCCTAAACTTGGCTGTCCTGAGACTTGTTCTGTAGACCATGTTGGCCTTGAACTCAGGGACCCACCACCCTTTGCTTCTTAGTGCTAGATTAAAGGTGTGAGGTGTGCACCACCGTGTCAGGCTCTAATCTTTTCTTTAATTTCTTTTCACTTTTCTTTGATTCCTTTTTGCAAATTTGAGGCTTCGATAAGTAGGGTCTTACTTTACGGTCACCATTCCCTTTATTCCATCTACCATCAGGCTTTTCTTTAACCTGTTTATAGTTCCTGGTACCCTTTTTCTCCACAGACTACATTTTGTATTTCTGCTTGCTTAGTTTGCTTCTTTTAATTATAAATCTGCATGAGTGTGGCCACTAATAAGCAAGCAACATAGTCAGTGCTAGGCTGTTTGGAAATCTTCATAGCTCTTCAAGTTAGCGTCAGATTTTGTGGACAAGGGTAGAAAGCAGCCACATCCTTTGACAAGATACCATAAGAATGGTCTCTAGGCCACATCAGCATATTCTGAGTCTGAAACCTTTTGATCCTGGTCTCCACAGTTCAGATCACACTCAGCACCGCTGTCTTCCATTCTTCCATGCTCCTACTAGCATGGCCCGTTAGGATCCACTTAGAGCATTACACTGCTTTCTTAATCCAAAGTCCACACTCTCCCAAACAAAAGCATGGCCAGGGCCATCACAGCAATACCCCACCCCTGGTACTGCCTTCTTAGGGTTTCTATTGCTGTGAAGAAAACTTTGACCACACAACTCTAACAGGGCAAACTTTAACTGAGGCTGGCTTAAAAGGCTCAGAGGTTTAGTCCATTATTTTCATGGTGGGAAGCATGGCTACATGCCGTGAGATATGGTGCTGGAGAAGGAATTGGCAGTTCTGTATCCAGATCAGGAAGAGCAAGACACTAGGCCAGACTTAGACATCTGAAACTTCAAACCACCCCCAGTGACATACTTTCTCCAAGAAGGCCATACTTCCTACAGGCCACTCCCTTGGGCCTGTGGGGGCCATTTTCATTCCAACCACATCTCTTTTACTTATTTCCCTTACAGTGCATGCTTTGCCCATTAAAAATCCTGTGAGGTCATTATGGTCTGTGTGTCTTCAGGCAGCTTTCCTGCCTTTATCTTACAAATCCTCCTCTCACATCCTCTTTTTACAAAATGAGCAATACTTGTCTGCCCTTTAGTAGTGTACATGTATGTGGTTTTTTGTTGTTGTTTTGTTTTTTTTGAATATGGAATGTGCACAGCCTGGATAGTGGATTCTAAGTGAAAGACTGTTAGGACTTTTAAAATCATGTTAATATACTCTCTCTCTTCTTTCTCTTTTCTTTTTTTGCTTCCCCTCCCCTCCCCTTCTCTCTCCTCTCCTCTCCTTCTCTCCTTCCCTTCCCTCTTCTCTCCTTCTTCCCTCCCTCCCCTCCCTCCCCTCCCTCCCCTCCCTTCCCTTTTCTTTTCTTTCTTTTTCTCTTCTCTCTTTTCTTTTCAGATTTTACCAGATGTTGCAAGGACTCTGGATTCCTTATGGTAGTAAAATGCCGGAAAGAAAATTCTGCATTGAAAGACTGTCTAACTGCTTAGTAAGTAGTTACCTCTGTGTTTATGGATCTGTGATTGCAAAGTGTGTAGTAAGAGAATATTAATAGCTCATTACCTTTAATATGTTCTGTACCACCCCCACACACCACCAAATTCTGCATGTTGCTGGTTAAGACATCAGTTTGTTACAGGTTATTCTAAAAGAAGGGCATTTAGGAAGGGATTTTTAAGAAATTTATATTTGGCAGAATTGTGTATATGATTTTCCACATGGTTTAATAAATCCTTTTTCTGTAACAGCTTGCTTTCTAGAATGCAGTGTAGCCTGCTTTTTAGTTCTTCTAATGAACAGCAAGTGAACTAGACTTTCCCCAGGAACTTTTCAGCCTGTCAGCTTGCTGAATTTTTGCTTCAGCTCCTAGTGGCAACACATGATAAGAAAGCTATAAAAGTAAATTTCGAATTTTGAAGCATTGGCTAGAGTACTGAGTCCTACAGAAAACAGGAGGGTGTGGGGAAGCCTTACAGAAAAAGCACACCAGCTGAACAGACCACTTGGTCTGAGACTGCTGCCTTTTTGCTGTAAGGACAAAACTTGCGCTGGGGTGGTGGCACCCACCTGTATTTTTTATTTTATTATTGTTTTTTAAAATTGATTTATTTTTTATTAGTTACAATGTATTCATTTTGTATCGCTGCTGTGCTCCCTCCCTCATATCCTCCCAATCCTGCCCTCCCTCCCTCTTATCCCATGCCCCTCTCCAAGTCCAGTGATAGGGGAGGTCCTCCTCCCCTTCCATCTGACCCTAGGCTGTCAGGTCTCATCAGGACTGTCTCCATTGTCTTCCTCTGTGGCCTGGTAAGGCTGCCTCCCCCCTCAGGGGGAGGTAATCAAAGAGCCAGCCCCTGAGTTCATGTGAGAGACTGCCCCTGTTCCCATTACTAGGGAACCTACTTGTGGACTGAGCTGCCATGGGCTACATTTGTGCAGGGGTTCTAGGTTATCTCCATGCATGGTCCTTGGTTGGAATATCAGTCTCAGAAAAGACCTCTGGGCCCATATAATTTGGTTCTGTTGTTCTCCTTGTGGAGCTGTCCCCTCCAGGTCTTTCTATCTCCCCCTTCTTTCATAAGATTCCCTGCACTCTGCCCAAAGTTTGGCTATGAGTCTCAGCTTTTGCTTTAATACCCTGCTGGGTATTGTCTTTCAGAGGCCCTCTGTGGTAGGCTTCTGTCCTGTTCCCTGTTTTCTCCCTCTTCTGATCAATCTGGTGCTTTCTCAGACAATTAGGAATAGTGCTACCTCAAGATCCAGCTATACCACTCCTAGGCATATATCCAAAATATGCTCAAGTACATAACAAGGCCATTTGCTCAAACATATTCATAGTAGCTTTATTCATAATAGCCAGAATCTGGAAACAACCCATATGTCCCTCAGTTGAGGAATGGATACAGAAATTGTGGAACATTTACACAATGGAATACTACTCAGCTATTAAAAACAAGGAAATCATGAATTTTGCAGGCAAATGGTGGGAACTAGAAAAGATCATCCTGAGTGAGGTATCCCAAAAGCAGAAAGACACACATGGAATATACTCACTCATAAGTGGATATTAGACTTATAATATAGGATAAATATACTAAAATTTGTACCCTTAAGGAAGCTAAGCAAGAAGGAGGACCCTGGGTAAGATGATCAATCCTCACCCAGAAAGGCAAATGGGATGGACATTGGCACCCACCTTTAATCTCCGAGGCAGAGAGGCAGAGGCATGTGGATTTGCCAGCCTGACATACAAAGTGAGTTTAGGACATCCAAGGCTCTGTTAGAGAAACCCTGCCTTTGTAAGAAACCAAAAAAAGCAAAGAAAAAAACAACCAACCAACCAAAAGAACAAAATGTGCTACATCAAGGGGGCGGGGCACCTGCCGAGAGTCTACAGACCACAGAAGGAAGCTGGCACCACACAGCCTTCACTAGAACACAAACCCACGTTTTTTGGGCAGATGAAAATAAGTGTTAGGGTTTCTATTACTGTGAAACACCATGACCAAAAAGCATGTTGGGAGAAAAGTGTTTATTTGGTCTCTATTTCCTTATTGTTCTACATCATTGAAGGAAGTCAGGACAGGAACTCAGACAGGATAGGAAGTTGGAGGCTGGAGCTGATGTAGAAGCCATCCAGGGTGCTGCTTATTGGCTGCTCCCATGCTTGCCCAGCTTGTTTTCTTACAGAATCCAGGACCACCAGTCCAGGAATGGCACCACCCACCATGGGCTGGACCCTCCCCATCAATCACTAATTAAGAAAATGCCCTACAGCTGGATCTTATGGATCCATTTCCTCAACTGAGGCTCCTTCCTTTCTGATGACTGTAACTTATGTCAAATTGACATAAAACCAGCCAGTATACAGTAAGCACCATCACCCATCCTAAGTGCCTCAGCTTTGCAAGAGGCACTTTGGCTTTCTGCCTCACACCCAGCAAAGTGCACAGGTCTTTCCTTCTCAGCCACCCAGACCCACAGGGATTTTGGGGATGGGGAGACAGGTGACTGTTTTGAATCCTGATACCCCTGGTGCTTTTCACTCCAGAGTCCTTTGTGCTAGAACCATCTGCATTTTCCCCTCTATCTGTGAGGCCAGTTTACACTCCAGCTTGAATCTTTAGGAAATCTGAGACAGGGAATCCTTTATGTCTCTTCCTCAAAATACAGCCCCACCTTCTAGCTCAGGGGCCTAAGCCATACACCGCACTCACACCTAAAACCCTCACTGCTGTGTGTTGTCCTTGAGTGTGACAGGAAGTCCTCCTGAGCCCACCAAATTACAAAGGCTTTCAGTGGATAAACAGCCCCTGACACAAGGGTCTGCAGGTTTGTGCCCTCCACCTGGGAAACGGGTTAATCTGTCAGTCTGAATTGCAAACCTGGAAGTTCCTGGACATATGAGACCTAGGCTTATCTGCAGAACCTGGAGGGCATCCTGACCTAGCCCGATTGATGTGCTGGTCATTGATAGGAACTGTGGCTCTTCCTTTCATGTACAGGGAGTGGTGAGAGTGCTGGAGAGAGCTACAAACAGGTGGAGTCCTGGTGGCAAGCACACCACTGCTCTGTGTATTGGAGGGCCATCTGCTCAGCACTTAGTGCCCGAGCACCGAAGCCTGGTCACCAGCCAGTTGGAATTTCTTCCCTGAACCTCAAATTTCCCCTGCCCTGATGACTGCCAATGCCAGTGTGTGCTTCCTGTGTGGCCTTTAAAAAGGCTCCTGAGTCCTGTAACAGGGAGGAAGGAGGTGTTTGAGGCTTGTACTAAAAACCTCTCTTGCTGTGGCAGACAGCCTTCCTTAAGTCTGCAGGTGATGCCTGTGAAAACCAAGAGTTCTTCTTACTTACAAACTGCAGCTGCCATTCCTAGACTTCCTCAGGTGATGCGCACAGCAGTGTGAGAGCCAAGGACCACTTTTTCCATCCTCAGTTTTCACAGGTGTAGGCAGTACACGGAACAAGACAGCTCCTGAAAGCCTTGGCTACCAATCGGGAATTTTCATGGGAAACTAAAGGTCTGTTCCCATCAGGAAAGTTCTGCCTTGGTCCGGAGCCCATTCTTCCTCATGTCACAGAGGATTGGAAGTTGCCCAGGCTCCCACAATGCCCATTCCAGATATGTTGGGAATATGGAAGGAGTGTAGCCTGGACCAGCCGTCTCAGACTTTTGAATGCTGTCATAAGCATGTATTATCATGTTCCACTCTCTGGCATTTTCAATGTACTTTTTGGAGAAAAATCAGAGATTCTAGGCTGAGAAGGTGGAGGGTTTCTCTGATCACGCAAGATGGCATGACTTCTCCAATGGCTGAGACAGAGATACTCCATGGAGCACACACATGTCCAGCATCAAAACACTGTTGATTAAAACAAGGCAAACTTGCCACATCTTAGTTACGAGACTTGGAGTTTAGTAAAGTTATAGTGGGAACTTCTACTCGACCATGGTAGAGAGCTATGATGAATAGGAAACATCTTCAGCTCTGTGGTGCAAATTTGAAATTGTCACATTGTTTACATATGTATATGTAAAAAACTTTTTGCTAGAGGAACAACTGGAATGAATCTATATACATTAAAAGGGCCTTTATCTGAGTGGCTTACATGCTGTGGTCAGGCTAGTCTATAAATGGCTCTCTGACAGAAAGGCCAGGAATCAAGGGTTGTTCAGTCCTCGAGGCTGGCTGTCTTAGCTGTAATTTAGACCCATGGATTAAATAACTACAAAGCCTGTTTCTCTGCTTTCTTCATGTCCTAAAGGGAATGTTTTTGTTCGGTCTGTGTCACGTGACTTGAATTAGTGTTCTATGATCCAGAGTCATCTGTGCCCAAACTAACTATAGTTAGCTACCAAATCAGCCTTTTTCCTTTGCATCCTACACCCTTTCCTGTGGGCTGGGTTATGCCCTCATCATTTTTTGTTTGAATAATATTATTGGGGACCCAAGTTTAAAAACTGTGCTGTTCCCTTCTAGTCTGCCCACCACACGCTGCCAGCCATTCCAGACTCTTGTGTTCACTGTTAGTCCTGTCCTGTTGCTTTGAGGAGACTGTAGCAGTGTGGCAGAAGTGGTCCTTCGTGACCTGGTCCCTGTGCACCTTTCTTGAGCTCTGTGAGCGTCATCCACCGTGGGAGTACTAGCCTACTTGCAGTCTCATGTACCTCTTTCTCCTCACGTGTGCCTTCCCACATGCCTTTTTGTGGGTTTCTGTGGCCCTGCAAAGTGCAGTTCAGCCAAGTTCTCATTGACACCTCCCCTTCCTCATGTTTCCACTGCCATCCTTGTACTGTCTAATTTTGTTCTAGTCCAGCCCTTGCGTGTTGAACCACGGGCTCTTGGAATGTAGGATCACTCACTGTGGCATCCTGGGATAAGACTTAAGACTTTATATTACTATGTACTTTATTAATTACAAAAAAATTTAAATCTTTAATTCTGCTTTTCTCACTAGTTTGTGTTTATTGTGTCTTGGTGGCTTACTGAAAGTCAACTTTTCAATATTGAACCTCATGAATATCTGAATGCTATTAAAGCTTATATTGTATCTATTTTGAAATATATTAAATTACTCCTTGTAGCTATAATGATCCGGCCTTCTATGAAGAATGCAAACTGGAATATCTCAAAGAAAGGGAAGAATTTAGAAGAACCGGAGTTCCTACCAAGAAAAGGTTACAGAAGCTTCCCACAAGCATGTAGGCAAATAGTGAGTCAGGAAGACACATATTATGGAAACCGTTTGCAATGTAAACCAGAAATGATGAACTGAAACAATATTTGCTTACTCTAATCATGAAAATACTGATTTTTTTAATGAAATAAAATATTTGAGTTCTGCTTTATTAATTACGGGATAGGGAAAAAAACTAAATGTATCCAATGTATCGTTTTCCCAGCCCTCTTGTTTCGTTTTGTTGGGTAACCCATTTCTTCCACAACTTGTAACTGCAGTCACAGTGCTGGTTGTCTTAGCACTTTCACATGTACATTACCTTCCGATTATGCAGGCTGATGTGGGATGAAAAGTACTGAAGACGGAGCAGACAGGCTTCAACACTGCTAGGAGCAGCTGTGAAACCGTCCTCCACCCTCCCACTTACTGTGCTGCTGTGGCCATCAGTCTGACCGTGACAACGTACCTGGCACTGCCAGTGTAGGCAGTGTAGGCTTGTTTGAAAACAGATGAGATTAGGTGAATCAGTTTATTAAAACCTTTGATGGAAAAGTTTCTGCACTATTTCTTGGTCTTTTCAACTTGATTACTAAAAATACCGTATAAGCTTTGATTTTAAGAAGTTGTCATTTTTGAGTGCGAACTTTTGTAACACTGGAAATTCAGGAGGAACTGTGGTAAATTTCTGCTTCAGTCTGTCAATTTGGTTCTAGGCGGAGCTTTTTATACTAAAGGTTTTAGGTGTTTTTTTTTTTTTGTTTTGTTTTGTTTGTTTTTTGAGACTGGGTTTCTCTGTGTAGCCTTGGCTGTTCTGGACTAGTTTTGTAGACCAGGCTGGCCTCAAACTCACAGAGACCTGCCTGCCTCTGCCTCCCCAAGGGCTGGGATTGCAGGTGTGCATCTTGCACAGCTAAAGGCTATTTTCTTAACAGGAAGGCAAGACTTAACTCTGGCTCCAATCTCAATTTTTTTTTCCCTCATGTTCAAATTTTACACCGTACTCAGAAAAGAATTACTTTACTCCTATTTGAAACTCAAAGAACCCATTTTCTCAGACCACAGATCAACAAAAGGTGGCCAGAGGCCGAAGCAGAGAAAAGCGCAAAAGCACTAAGTCTGAGCCTGCAGGATGGGGCAGGGCGGCAGCCTGTTGTTCCTACACTGGCCTGTTGGCACTGGTGCATTGCATGACAGCCTCCAGTTGCTGTTTTCAGTGACTCAGGGAAAAGGCACAGCCAGCAGTTACGGTAAGAAGCCAGTGACACAGTAACAAGACTTTTTTGTTTGTCACACAGCCAATAGGTACCAGACACACTGTTCACATCCACCTCTTGTGTGACTAGTGTGCCAGCTGCAGATGTCTTTGGAGTATTGGCTTTCTATTGCTTGTTCATAGGGCAGGACTATTCTTGACTCACATATGAGTTCAGTGCTTTCTTTTGGCCTCAGTACAGTAAGGGGCAAGAGGAAGGAACAGGTGGCTGCTCTTAGCTGTGTCCTTGTGTCATTGCGTTACAGGTGTGCTTAGCTGGATTTTCCTACAAAAAGAAATACAGCTATTAGAGAAAATTTCAAGGGAATTTGTTTGGAGTGTTAGCTAAATATAAAAGAACCAACCAAAATGCAAATCTTAATGAATTACAAAATATAGATGCTACCATGCCACCCCTTCAAACACAGAGCTGACAATATAAGTGTATACTTAAACATTTTCTGACTAGGTAAAAATATTTTAGGGTTCATCTTTCTAGCTAAAGAATTCTTACATAGGGCATTAAATACTTTCAACTGTTAAGAACATCAGACTGTTCTGGTGATCCTTTTTGATAACTTACACTGGCTAGAGGAAACTTGCTCCATTCAGAATATTTTTGGAGAAATAAAATTAATACCAGACTTTGGAAATATACATAGGCAAGGACAGTATTTCACATCTAATTCCATTTTAAGAACAAAAATAATTTTAATTAAAACAAATTCTTGGCATTGTGCAAAACATTATTAAGACTCTCTTTACAGAAGAAAACTTCTAGTCTTGGTTTAAAAAAGGCAAACCAGTAAGCTATATTAGACATGAGATGAAGGCCTCCGCAGCCACATGAGAAACAAATCCGCTTTCTTATTACACAGGTAGTTAGTTCCCTCAGCTGGAGTCTGGAGGCTCGTGTTTGTTTTATGCATATTGGGTTTTGTTGTATTACTTGGCAGGAGCCTGTACTCCCTTGAGTCAGCTGTGTTCATTGGTCAGAACACAATCCAGTATCTGACATCAATTCCATTAATCAGGGCAGGCATGAGTAAGTGAGTGAGATAACTGAATGGTGAACACTGCCGGGCTGTGCACGGGATTCAGCACGAGATCAGAGGTCCTTTAAATTCAGGATGTAGGAAATGCCACTTAGGAAAGGAGAGTCTTCTTACGTCACACAGGTAATACATGATCACTAATACTCTGTTTTGACCCTGAAGGAATTTAGATGAATTTCCACATGAAGCCATCTTCTTTATTTCTTTACTTATTTACAAGTGATTGGCCACTTAAGGGATATTTCATAATTATACAGCACAAAATTTAGTTCTAGATGAAGTTAATTAGGATTTACTTTTTCAAATGTCCTATCTGTGCATAAGCGTTCTGTGTATGTGTAAAACAGACAGCTGTTCTGCTGAAAATGACTACATGGTGAGTTCACTATGACTCACTGAACAGACTGCTCTGTGAGATGTTCTTTCTACTTTAACTGGACTTTGTATACGGTTATAATAGTTTAATTCGCATACATCATCATTTTTAACTATTTGGATTTGAATATACTGGGAAAAAGTTGGCTTCAATGGTCATTAGTTCAAGTCTTAGAATTTAAATTGCACTTTAAAATTGTACACACAAATGTTTTACTTAAAATGATTTTGAATCTTAAAACTTTAAGAACAGCAGAGATGTAATAACCTACTTTTACTCCATTATATTTCAAATCTTTATGCATCAGAAAGTCAAAGAAGCACAACCTTTTCACACTGCCATTTGCTTCTTGGTATAATATGAACCAGCAGACATGGTTTTTCTCTTATATTAAAGACTACTCTTTATTTGAATGGGCATTTAGACTGGTCACATACTTTATAAAACCATGTCTAAGATTTCCATTTTCATTCCTTTTCCAAGAAGCAAAAATTTGTAATTGTTATTAAAGGTACAACCAGAGGTTCTCATAACTGGAAAATAAAGTACATAATGTGCAGAATGTACAAATGTACCTATTGGAGAACTCTGCAAGATTGTAATCAAAGTCCACTTCCAGTCTGAACAACCCCTTGGGAGAACCAGTGAGTTAGTGTCCTCCTGATCGAATTGCAAGTCCCATCGAGTTAGCTCTCGTAAAGGCAGTTCTGATTACGTTGGTCCAAGTAATGCAGCGGTGGCAGGCTGGGTAAAGGGAAGACTCTGCTTTTATTTTCACCAAAGGCTGTCTCACTTGACTTAGGAGGGCTTGGGAATACCCAGGAATTATCTTCCAGAGAATTTCTGCCATAGGAACTGTGCTCCTGAAAGTCTGCACCATCATTAGGAGCCAATCTCTCGTTATCTGTCCATGACTCAAGAACTGCTTTGTCTGAGAAAGCCGTTTTATCTCCTGTCAAAGGGGAAGACGGAGCATAACAAGTAGCTTTGCCATTTGGTGACGAAGGGGGATGTCTTTTGTAAGTTGCAGTGAAGTTTGTCAAGTGCAATTTAGTGCTGTCTCTTCCAAGGTCTTCAACATATCCTACTGGGGTACAGGCTAAAAAGAAAGCAAAGCTATGTGTCAGTCTTCTAGCATGAGACTGTAAACATCTTATTTATTATTAGTTTTGCAACTGATAATAATAATTAGCATTTCCAATTTAGTCTGATCACTGGAAACTGACTTGGAGATACCTAACGTACCTGAGCTCTGAGATAACACATATTTACTGAAACTGACTAAAAGTCATTCACTCAGCTGCTTCTTTTGGAAAATAGATGTGGGAATCTTTTCCTGCCTGATCAAGTCTACATGTTATTAAAAAAAACAAAAACAAAAAACATCTTTTTTACAAGGCAAAGACAAGTGAAGTTCTTGGCCTTTAATGTGGCTAGTGAATATTTTAGATCATATTTAGTGGAGACCAAGAAAGTCATGAATAATTAGTAGGTTTAAAATATCTTCTGTTGCTTATTGAAACGTCTCCATGGGAGAGGGTCCAAAAGTAACTTAGTTTTACAAATATACGTTGAATTATTCTTCAAAGTCAAGTGAAATTTTAACATGTATTCAAAAGCCTTTGTGGATGAAGGTAGTTGAAATAGAATCTGTAAGGTCAATTTTTTATAATAAATATAATAGTAAACACAATTTTGCTTTGCTCAACAAGCAGGTCAACTTAAAGAAATAAAAAGGTGTTTCATACATACAATAGCTTGCAAAAGACTGCTATGAGGTTATTATTTAGCTATAATCAGCAAACTGGCAACAGTAGCATCTTTTACTCTCTTCAGTCAATCTGCCACAATTGACAGCCATAAAAAAATATATATTGTCTATTTTATACACACACACACACACACACACACACACACACACACACACACACACCTATATATATAACCAAGGATGACCAAGTATATCTACAGCTTGGCTCCATGTGAACCTAATATTTTATTTTTATGTGTGTATGTGTGTAAGCATGAGAACGCAGTTACACACACATGAGCATGAAGGTCAGAGGACAGGTTTCCACAGTTGTCTCTTTCTTTTCACTGTGAGCTCCAGGGGAAATGGGTCCTCAAGTTTGCAGGTGAGCCCTTCCACTTACTGAGCCATTCTTCTGGGCGAACCAACGCATGTAATTTTAGAAGAAACGAATTGAAGCATTTGGGTAGTGGACTAGGGGGATAGATAAAATGAAAGACCTGAAAGTAATAAATTCTTCTGGATAATGGTGATGGGCAGGTTAGGGATAAGTGAGCCATTACCCTGTCTACTTAAAACAATGAGCTATAGGGACTGCTGACTACTTAACAGTATCCAAGGAAAGTCTAGAAATTGATAGTGTAAAGGCATCAAAAGGCTGTAATATCAGCCAAGTAAGAAGGGACACAGGATGGAAAGAGCTTTTCTTCTTTATTATTTTTTAGAACATACTATTTATGATATACTTGTTGTACTGACAGCTTACTCCACAATAGCTGAGTACCTTTAAGGATAAGTCTTATTTCTGTCATCCACCTATGGTATCTTCATAAGTAAACTTAACTACTGGAAAATGAGGGTAAGGTGAACCATAAATTAAGCTATGTTTGCTCAACACCACATTAATTTGCCTGATTCTTAAGTAGTCAACTCCTCAGAAATCAAAAGAAACTGAATTCAGTCTTCTCCTCCTTCCCCAATGTGAAACATTTTCCCTTACAAGCACTCCTGAGAACGTTTGTAATTTTCTTGTTCTCCTTTAGGACAATCATAGGTGCAACTAATTTTAAATTAGATACCGATCATTTTTCAAAGTCACATCACATTCCTTTGAAAAGTAAAATTTAAGGCATTAAATGCATACTGTATATTTTGGTTGTAAACCTGTCATATAATGTTAGGTCCAAATACAGATCATTTTCTAAGATATAAAAATAGCACTGACAAAACTACCCACGGTTAGCTAATATAAAAGTCAAACAGTGGATATGAAAAGAAACAATGGCAAATTCAGGTTGAGTCTGCCTTCAAATCAGATATCCCGTATGGAAAAGTAAAGTTTATAAAAATATATCAGGAACTAAGTGAATCAGAATTGTCGTTTTGAAAATAAAACGCTAGGTGTTTGGTCTATTTCATAGTATTGGAGCTCTTTTTAAATATACAACTAGTTCTGTATTGCTGTGGTAAAAGGCCCCGAACTCAGACCTAACACCTTGGCCTTACACACATAAGCAGCACTTGGCTGAGAAAAGCCACAAGGGGAAAATACAGCACTGTCGACAAACCACCAACACCTGATGTGTGAAGATGACCAGCTGGAGACTGGAGCACAAGAAAAGAACGCTGTGCTGCACACACTGCTGCAGTCTGGCTTTTCAACGGCAGCCATGGGACTTTGGTCAAGACAAAGTAGCTGGCTGCTCTTCAGGCAGTCTGGCTGGATCAGCATTTCCAGCCAGCAGTGACTTGCCTGTCTTGACTGCAGCTGAGGTTCTCAGTTTTCTTAGTAGTTCTGCTTGCACTTGAGTCACCAGATGTAAGTTAGACATCTCCCTCTTCAGTTCCCAGTATGCATGCTGCATATTGTCACTGAAATGGAATTTTAGAAACAAGTTATACTGGTCCTTTTTATGGGCAAAGGGAATAACTTCACAATACAAATAAACAGGTTTATATTTACCTTTTAATGACAATATAAATGAACTAAAAGATTAATTGGGACGTTGTAAGTGAAAAATCTAGGGGTAACACTGCCCTGATTCCAAGCAGTAACTACTGTACTAAACAGACTGTGATAAACACTCTAACCAGTGACTTTTCTACTGGCTCCTTTGAGAACTAAGGATTGCTTTTAGCCAGTAATGTGCAGTGCTGTTAATATAATTAGTAACTAGTAGGGAATATGTCCTTCCTTTGCCAATCTGATCAAGAATAAAATTGCATTCATTCATGTATAGTCTTTGAATTCGTCTTTATCTCTGGATTGTTTTGACATTGTGAAATGAAGTGATGAGTACAGACCCAAGACCACATTAAGACAAAATCGAGGTTTCATGCATTACATTCTTTATGTCTGACTGGGCTGTCTCATACTGTTGGTTCTAAACCAATGTGACATGACAGCACAAGACATGAGGAGTCACGTGATTTCCTCATAACGAAGCAGCAGCTAGAGAAGCGGACTATGAAAACTTCAGAATGCCTTTCTGTAGTTTTATGATTAAAAGGATTTTACCTCAGAATCTGAAACTTTTATATTTAATTTTAACAGCTTTCATTTTCCATTAAATCCTCTTAGGCCCATGATTTTCTTTAGGTTCTTAATTGTCAACTAAATGAACTGGCATCTTCAGCACATCATCCTGTTTTACTGTATAGCAATACATGAAATAGTCAATATAAGAACTGACTTCATAGTATTAGAACCACTGTTGTTGGTTAGAGAATGTTATTTGGTATGGAAATAAAACTAAACAAACATGCTACCTCATGCTTCAGTTTTTACCTGTTCAAAGAACAATTTAAATTTCAAAGGTGTAACCTTGAAATCTGGATTTAGTATCTAATTACAGAAGCAATAGATATTTAAAAACAAGTAGGTTAAATTATGAGGTAAAATTTTACCTCTTTTGACAGTATTTCTACCCTACTAGGACTGTAATTCTTATAAACAGCAAACTATACTGTTTTGGAGAGAAATCTATTATTTTAAATATCCTTGTTAACCTTTCAGAGCCAGTAAACAATGGAGATGCTTTTAACAATGACTTTTATAGTGAGTTTGTTTTCAGTGTGAAGAAGCTGATGGTTTCATGGTACAATTCTGGGCATTTAATGTTCTTCAAAGGCTCACTCAAATTATAAAGCAGCAAGTGTGAGCACTGTACACACACTAACTCAGGCACACAGGCATAAATAATACAGTTTGAAAATAGTTTATTGTTATAAAATGGTGAATCTGTACCTGACTTACAAAAAAAAATATTCATAGCAATACTTGGGCACTGAAATACCACGTGCATACAGTCACTCAAAATATCTAGACAAGTCAAGTAAAACATTACAAAGGTATTAGTATCAATACCTAATGTGTATTTGAAAAATTCAATTTAATGAAGATTGCTCAAAATTTAGGATAAAATTACATCATCAGATTACCTTTTTGTCCTTTGCTCTTAGTGTCACCTTCAGATTAAAAAAATTACCTGCAGTTGGGCAGGAGATAAATGGCTCAGTAGTTCAAGACTACTTACTGTCTTGCAGAGGGCCAGGATTCAGTTCCTAGCATCCCCACTGCCTGTAACTCCAGTTCCAGGGACCTCATGCCCTCCTCCGGCTTCCATAGGCTCCACCTATCCCCATCAACTCATGCAGGTTCACACAGTAACATACACATAAAAAGATGCATTTTCAAAAAACTAAGGTGATAGGCTGGCAAGTGACCTGAGTTTAATTCCTGGAACCAACTGAAGAGCGAAGGCAAGCACTGACTCCACTGAGCTGTCTTCTAACCACCACACAGGCTCTGTGGCACACTGCCACCTCAGCATCTAAGATTATTACTGATTACAATTCTTCCTCTTATGGATAACAAAATCATTTCAGTTGGTGTTACCTTAATCATGAAAGTGTTAAGTCTTTAAAATGTGTAAAACTGATTGGTAGTTCTATGCAAATCAACAAATATTGAAACCATTAAAAAAGAAATGAAAAGGCAAATTATCTCTCCAATTCTTAGCAGGGTTCCAACTTACCCTCATGAGTACTGGGTGTTTTAGCAGTGTTTTTGAGACTGCATAGACCGCATACCAACCATTTTACCCTACTTTCTTAACTGGGAGTGTAAACCTAAACTTGCTCTAAGTGACATTAAAAAAATACATTTCGTGTATATGGTCCTCTAAACTACTCACAGAGAAGTTCCCCGAGTACTAAAATTACACTAATCCAATTGAGATCCCTTGAAAACAATACATAACTATGGCTGAGCATGGCCATAGCACTCTATGCATGGCACCCACATTCTAACACCAGCCTGGTAAAATGATTGTGCCGGATAGTTTTAGGTCAACTTGACACAACCTAGAGTCACTGAAAAGGAAGGAGCCTTAATTGAGAAAAGGCCTCCAGAAGACTGGGCTGCAGGTAGGCATGTAGGGCATTTTCTTAGTTAGTGGTTGATGTGAAAGGTTCCAGCCCACTGTGGGTGGGGGCCAAGCCTGGGCAGGTGGTCCTGAGTTCTAAAAGGAAGAAGGCTGAGCAAGCCATGGGGAGGAAGCCAGTAAGAAGCCGGGGCCTTCTTACATGAAGCCAGCATGCATCGGCTCATGCTCTCAGGATTCTGCCCTGTTTTGAGTTCCTGTCCTGACTTTCTTCAATGATGAAGAGCAATAAGGAAATGGAGGCCAAATAAACCCTTCCCTCCCAAACTTGCTTTTGGTTATGGTGTTTCATCACAGCAACAGTAACCCTACCTAGGACAATAAGAAACCAGTTTGCACATAAGTTCAGGAGTCAACTCCACAAGGTTATTTTTTCAAAACTGTGTTCCTTATCTACTCTGAGTATTGACCACGGTGCCCTTTTTGGGAAGGATATTTTCTCATAGGCCTTGTCATTATATACACATCACATCAACTACAGTAAATAGTTGATGGCCCACACAAATATGCTTAGTCCAAGTATAGACTTTTGTATTTTGGTGTTAGGGAACTTGTCTGTGTCTCAAGAAGCATTGCCTATTCTGTTTAGAGAGAACTGTGAAGTCTTCTTGACCAACACTATCAACCTTTTGGTAAAATACTGTTCACGAAAGAAAAATCTATCTAGGTATGATTCTACTGCAGACATATATAATTTTCTTTAGTATTTGAAAAGTTACTATGCTCCCTTAAAGCAGCAGTTCTCAACCTGTAGGTTGCTACTCCTTTGGGGTTCAAACATCAGATACCCTGCGTATCAGATATTTACTTTATGATTTATAACATTAGCAAAACTGCAGTTAGGAATTTGCAACAAAATAATTTTCTGGTTGGGGGTCACCACACATGAGGAACTGTATTAAAGGTTTATAGCATTAAGAAGGTTGAGAACCACTCCTTTGAAGGAACTAAAATTAAAATATGCAATTTGCTAAAGAAGTAGAGGATGTGTACTTTGACAATTGTGAGTTCTCTAAAACAAATGTCTTGAAAATTTTTGACAGGATAGCAAATCAGGTTAAGCCTGATGGTAACTGTTAAAATCATTTTTATAAATATACAATGACCAGAGATTACAGCCACAGGCAGATGATTTGCTGCTCCTAAAGTTAGAGCACATCAGAAAGGTAGAAGCACACAGGAGACCTGTGGAGAAGGCCCTGGTGTGGAGCATGCTCCTCCCTTGATGAGCTCGGCCTGACAACATCTCTGTTCTGCAGAAAGTCTTCCTGAGATGGACCCTGTGGTGTTTTTAAAAAGGAAAAGACAGGAGTTACTTCAGTGATTTCAGTTCTTCATTCATTTATTACAGATGTTTCAACATTCATAGACTACAACTACCACTGTATAAAGTGTAAGACTAGATTTTTGGACTCAATTTTAATGAAATACTGCCACCTATCCTAGAATTGTCTAAATCACTTTCAGTTATTTGTGTGTTTATGCTTTCCTTTGCCTTTAAAATATGTTCTCACGAGTTTGGAATCCTATAAAACATTTTGAACATATCAGAAGTGTAATATCTCCATCACATTACTGTTTAAAGTACACCTGCATGAACTCCATGGGAAAATGGGAGTTTCTTTGGTATTACTTCTGTACACAAAACCAGCAAAAACTGGACAAGCTACTGTTTTAAGACAGCATAAATTTCCTCCTAAAGAGATGTAAAATGAGTGACCTGGCAAGAAATTTTTTGTATGTGCATATATTTTGGTCTTCATTTTCAAAAGCAATTGATCCGTATTTTAGGACAAGCAGTTATATCTCGAGGAAACCCATGAATATGCTGGAATAGTGCTGTCGCTTGACATATGCTGTTGGATTTTACTTTATTTTTCATCGAATGTGTATGGACTAACTGGCTTTACTTTCTCTGGTAGTAGGCAAAGAGGCACAGATTGAATAGGTTACATACACTGCATTATTTTAATAAACATTGTGGTACATTAGAGAAAGAACCATTTTCAGTGAATGTAGCAGAGTTTTCCGGTTGTTTCCACAGGGGGGAAAAAACCATTTTCTTCAATAGCAGTTTGATTTGGGTTTGGCACAGTGTCACCAGTTTAAGACCACACTTCCCAAACTCCCTTGCAAGGTGTGGCACTGGTAAGAACTTTTTAAAAGTTCCTTTTCAATTTTAGTTGCTTATACTGTGTGACAAGAGCAAACGACTACCCCAAAACACAAAACAAAGTAAAAACAAAAAACAAAACCCCCACACCTGTAAAAGATACTTTTACATCTAATGTACTCAAGATCTTCTGAATCACACTTGTTCAAAATGCATTCTCATTCAAGAGTCTGCAACATTAATATCACAGGTATGAATTACTCTATGAGCAGCAACTGCTGGTACAATCTGAAAAAACAAAATGTTAATCTTCATTATTACTTATATGACATAAACTGGGAATAGGCTCACTCCCATAATCCCGTTTCTTGGGAGACTGAGGAGGGTTGCCACAAGTTGGGACAGCCTGTGCTACAGAGTGAGTTCTGGGTCTACTTGGGCTACAGAGTAAAACTGTGTCTCAAAAACTATCCCCTAGGCATCTTTGGCATTGTTCTTCACTGTACTCCATAGGAAATAAGGTTATCCCAGACCACCTTTAAGTTTTTTGTACCATTAATTTAAAAACATGTTCCTTTGTGTATACTCGAATCACATGTTTGCTGCAAACCGCTTTAAAACCAACTATGAAAATAAATCTTGTTAGAATAAGAAAATATTGTACACCTGATAGTTCAGAAAAGCTGACTGTAAATCATCAAAAATGAAGTCCTCAAAAGGACTGTCTCCAACTTGCAAATACTCCTCGTGGCGAGTAAACAGGCTGCACTGTTCTGAGGCCACTCTCAGAACTGACCAAGTCCCACAGGTCCCTGCACTACAGCTCTCCCGGACGTTTACTACACAGCACAACTAGGACTCCACATGGGCTATTTATTTTGATCCACTATTTCTCACACTCCTTAGGCTAAGTTTGAACTCTCAGAATCAACTGTTCTGAATATGAAACTGGAAAAGCCCAGACAGAAATGCCTCTGAAACGCTGACCTTACTAACAGCAAACACTAGGCAAATTTGCTAATAGCTGAAACCAGAATGCTATTAATATGACCACTGTTATACACCCCAGAATGTAATGTCTTAGCATTTTAAAATATGGCCAGAGCAGACAAAGATAAGTTATTGATGTCAACACAGGCTTCTTTCATTGGCTCCTTCTTACATTCTCATACCCAAGAAAATTGTGACCAGATCTAAAAGTACATTTCTAAAAGTGACAGTTTTCTCACCCTTTCAATGTTCTTTTCTTATATCAGATAAAACTCTTAAGTTTCTTGCTTCACCATCAGTTTAAACTGATGAAACTTAAGTTTCCTGTACTTCTAATGATCTGGTTATGAACTGCCAGCCTAGGACAGATGTAAAGTAAAAGTATATGTTTATTCCCTAGCACCACCTAGTGGAGGAGAGTAAGTAATAAGAACAACTTGGCTCTCCATGCCCCACACAGACACATCTACGAGCGCTGCCTTTCTGGACTTTAAACAAGTCTGTCTGTTTATTTTAATTATGTACTGAATATACTCTGTCCAGATACTATATACAGTCCCTAACAATGTTTATGAAAAGTCAGGCACTTAACACCTATAGAAATAAATTTCTTGAAAGTTAAATGACATTCCTAAATTTCAAATTTAATAAACAGCGCAATGAGATAGATTCCCATAATCATATGGTACTGATTCTTACTCTACAGTGAAATAGTCTATGCATAAAATGTAAACATACAAAAATGTAATCAGGCATGTAAAAAAGATAGCAAATTATTTCAAGAAGAGTGTAATCATTGATGGTTACTCAGAACTTTGCAGTGCAAATCTTTTTGTGTAAGCAGCTATTCTGTTAGTGGCTATAACTGGGCTTACGGAGCAGAATGCTGGAAGTCTGAAGAAATAGTTTCGTGTGGCCCTCTACAAGCTTAAAGGTAGGGCAGTAAAACTCTGCAGTCAAGTAAAAGGAAACAAAAATCACTTGGGCTTTCACACAACTAGACAGCGATTTTTGTGGTGTTTTCCTTTATCAGATCCAGGGTTCTGATGGGTTCTCACTGGCCAGTGCAGGTCAGTCAGCTGCAGGCAGAATGCTATAGTATTCACACATGAAGCTCATTATAGCTAGTGGTCACCGACGAAGACTATGTTACAGAAGAGAAGTGTAAGCAGCATTTAAGGCTCTTTGGGTTATGGGTACATAACCCTGGTTGACAGCATAAGGATGGCAAGTAGCTCTACTTTTAGATGGTGACCTCCAGAGGGACATGTACAGGAGGCCTTGATGGGCAAGTAAGTGAGCTGAGGATTAACCGGCTATGACTAGCTTAAATTATACAAATGTAAAATATTTTGGCGCCACATTTTCACACACCCCCATCTGAAAATTTTTTTTTTTTAAATCCAGAGTATAGTAGTGGTAAACAGATTCCTAGAGAGGAACTGAGAGGCAGTTTGTGTGACTGGATGACTTCAGGCTAATCATGCTATAGCACACACTTGGCAGATATTTTTTGTTGTTGATTTTCCTAATTCATTCTCAAGCTGAAAAGAAACAGGCTATGTCAGGCTTCGTTTGTTAATGTTAAGTTTGTTGTTTTTTAAGAATTCTATAATGTTGTCTCTCGTGTTTAAACTAACCAAACTGATATGTTAAATAAATGGAAATGTTAACACTAAGTTCTCTTTACAATTTTCAGGCACATTCAGAACATGAGGAACCAGAAGAAAGAACATTTGAAAAAAATTAAAATAACCTGTGGCGGTCTGAATTCGAATGGTCCCCACAGGCTCATGTACTTGAATGCTTGGTCTGCAGTTGGCAGAACTATCTGGCAAGGGTTGACATAGCCTTGTCAGAGAAGGTGTGTCACTGGGGGTGGGCTTTGAAGTTTAACAAGCTCATGCATTCCCTGGTAGTTCTATCGACCTTGTACTTGTGAATCAAATGTAGGCTCTGTTACTGCTCCAGCACTATGCCAGCACTATGCCTGCCACCATGTTCCCAAACATGACGATCATGGACTCAAACTTTCTGGAACTGCAAGTCTCCAAATTAAATGCTTTCTTTTATAAACGCCTTTTATAAATCACAGTGTTTTGTCACAACAGAAAAGTAAGACATAACAAAATATACATTTTAAATCACATTTTAAAACCTTATTAAAACTGTATTTTGGGGTGAGTGAACATATAGAGTGTATGAAATACAGCAGCAATGATTACAAGGTAAACAAAATTTCTAGGAAATGAGAGTGTTATATGGTTATAATTAATTACAGACCTATGACTTAGTACTTAGTTACAAGTCCTATATGTATGTCACATATTTCACAGATGTTCTCAATTTAATAACATTCAAGTACCGTTTGCTTGGCTTTCTGTAGCTCTGTCTTGAGATCGTTGCATTCTTTTTTCATTAGTTCAAGCTCTTGTTCTAAACCATGGATCTTCAAATCACAGCCTAACTTTTCCACCTCCCAGTTGGATGAGGGTGGATTTAAATTCCTCATCACTAGAAAAAGGACACACAACAAAATAATTATCTTTGCTTTTTATACCAGTTCCAGTTCCTAGGTGGCACTAGTAAAATGTCAATAAATAACTATATAAAACAACCATACATATAAGGCTCACTGTCATGCACTCTGTCAGTGTTTGAAATTTGACAGGTACAATCAATGTCAACAAGTTTATTCGTAAAAATCTGATTATGGAAACAACACAGCTGGATCCTATATTATCTCTGACTTAAGTCCCCATGTCTCCATTTCCAAAAAGCCCCAACCATTTTCCTGAAAAGATCTCATATTAATTTTCTATCAAAAGTTCTCCCAGTAGCCAATTCTTTTGCTTATCTCATGAAACTATTGATAGGAACAAGACTATTATCTATAAGTCCCAGAAAAACTTTCAACTTCAGCATCTCATCTGTACATTTTATTAACTTTGAAGAAGAAAAAAAATTAAGAGTGACTGCAGCTACTCCATGACAATGTGTTTAACTGTGGGCAAAAAGTTTAGTATGAAAGATTGGGTCAGGAGAGAGCAGTGGGTGAGAGCTTCAGTGGAGATGGGGTTTATGTCAGTCCTCCTCTACTTCACACACTACCCTTGAATAAAAGCACATCTTCTGTAGGAAAAGTACAATTTTCAGCCAAAGAAAAGTTAATAGGATATTGCATAAAAAAGAACAGAAAAAAATTAAGGCTTTATCATACAGATATAGGAAACTATTATAGATCTCATACAAATGGCAAGATCGATTAATTCTATTAGAATATTCATAACAAGTAAGTGGCATACCCTGCTGAGTTTCCACCTCTGTTCTGAGCTGCAGAAGTTCTACTTCTTTAGACTGTAGCTGTTCATTCAATACTTTCAAAGATTCAGAGTTGTCTTTATTCTAGTTAAGTAGGGAAAATGCCAAATTACAGTCAATAAAATCTCTAGGCTTGATTATATCTTAATTTTTAGGTCAATATTGAATAAACCTCATTCTAACTTTTCAAAGTAAGATGGAAAAATGAACCCTGCTTCTCACACCATTTTGTTTCTTTCTTAGTACACCATTCTCACTGTATTAAAAGTAAAACAAAACAAAACCCCCAATGAGTAAGTAATTCAACCTTGTCATCACTTTTTCAAAGTAAATTAGTGGTGCTGAGATGGCTTTAAGCTCTTAATGTTATTAACTGCTAAGTTTTTTTTTTTTAAATTAGTGGAAAATATAATCATATAATCATTAAAAATTTCCCTATGCCATGCACATGTATATTTTAATTAACAATTGTTTAACCCCTTATTTTAATTCTAGAGCTCTTGCAAAACAAAACAATGAAAATATAAAGTATTATTTTCAAATCAACTTACTATTTTTTCCAATTGGTTCTTCAAATTGTCTCTATCAATGCAAACCTCTCGATATGCATGATAGGCCTTATTCACTTGTTCTCGTCCCACAGGACTTGCTTCTTCATCTACTCGAGCTCCAACAAGCTAGCAGTATGAAATTAGGGGAGAAATCTTCAGATTTGTAGAATCAAGTAAGTCCATCTTCAGATGATTCTGTATCTTCCTCTAACTACTGTAACACAAGGAGAAAGCCTACCTTTGCCTATAATTAAGTGAATATTTCATTGACACACACTCTTCGTTAAGACACACAGTACACAAACAACAAGTACCTTCTATGTTTGTAGCTCATCAGTCTTTGTGCTTTGTACTATTTGCTTTGTAACAAACTTAATCATAACAATGTAATTTAGTATATTGTCTTGTGAGTGTCTAGATATTTTCCAAGCCTACAGTAACTAATTTCTATCATCAGGAAAGTATCAAATCAGACTTAACTTTCTTAAGGAATAGACATGTTACTTCATTAAACCCTGTATTATTCCAGCAATTGAAATTAATAGGATGATCACAGAAACAATTTTGTATGTTAACTTTATACTAAATTCCATAGTTTCTATTTAATTTTAAAAGCATAATTCTTAGTTGTCCAAGTTAGCTTCAATAATTTATCTCATATGACAAATATACTTAGTTACTAAGTTAAAATATGAGAAAAAATTATAATATTAATAAATTATTACCCTTGTTTTACCATCCCAACAAACAAATTAAATTCTACTAACCCTCATCCTCAAGTTTTTAAGTACAGGAAAATTTCTTTCTTTGCTCAAAACTCATTTCTTTTACCATTTGTGGAAGCTCTTATTTTTGTAAGACAGAAATAAAAATCAGAGTTTAAGAAATAAACTAAAACCTTGAAATGCCATAAATAAATGAACAACCAAGAAAAATGCCAACATATAGTCTAGTTAAATCTGGTGATTTAGACTGCATTTTAGCTATGTGTATATGAAATTCAGGAATTTAACACTCAGCATAGAAAAATACACGTGTCATTATTGGTTCAAAATGTTATTCTTACTTTGTGATAAAAATAAAGAATCAGAAATAAAGGTTCCATTTCTGGTGAAGAGCTTGTTAAACACAGTGAAGCAGTAGCACAGAAGGATCCTCTTAGACAGGTTCCTTTATCTTACTCTTCTGTACCCACTTGAAAATTCAAAATGACAAACATTCATCAGGGCTGGGTGACTGCTCATTTGGTTAAACTGCTTGCTGCAGGACCCGAGTTCAATCCTCACGTAAAAACCAGGTGTGGTGAGGTGTACTTGTAATCCCTGTAAAAGGAACATAGGGACCCGAAGATCCCTGAGGCTTCTAGCCAGGCAGCCTAGTCGAATTAGTCAGCTCTATGACCTAGCACAAGATCCTGTCTTAAACAGAAGGAGCTCCTAAGGAACTCCTTAGGTGTGCCCATGCACGTTTGCCTCACAAACAAACGAACCAAAAAGAAAACAAAATTAAACAAAACAAGAAAAAAAAAAAAAAGGCAACAAAAGCAATGACAGTAGGCAATCTGAAAAAAAGAAACAGGAAATTCTGAAATACCGTCCCTTCATGCTGTTAAATTCTGCTCTACAATATCACTGAGCACATAGTATGGCTGATGCAGCAGAGTTTAATGCGGAGGAATTCAGAAATTCTTACTTATTCTTGGAGGACAGATTAGAAAATATTTTAAATTTCAAATACTGGAATTATTCTTTATGTCAAAAATGTAATCAAAAGAGGAATAAAATACCTTTTCTTCCAAAGCTCTTATTCTTTTCTTTAAGAAGGAGTTTTCTTTTTCTGAGTCCTTAAGTCTCTTCTTGATGTCTTCATACGCAGTGACCAGGGCAAAATGTGAAGCAACAGACTCATCTCCGGGATATGCTGAGAGCGGAGTCACTGTCTCTCTTCTGTGGGCTTTTTCATGATTGAGAATACAGATGTCATCTTCCACTAGTGTGTCCATGGTGGCTATAGAGAAGATAAAGTATGAGGGTCACACTTGGTGAGCAGGGGTAAAAAAGTATAACTACAATGTGAATACTGAAAACAACTTTAAAGGTATTTTCTTTCAGAGGCAAGACAACATAGTTGCTTTAAGCATAGCTACCCAGGTTCTAATCCAAGGTTCAGTGTCTGTGTGACTTAGTGAAAAAGCTAATAACCACTTTTAGTTTAAATAATTAAAAATAATTATAGATAAAACACTTAGGACCATAATCCATTACTATAAAGTCCTATCAGAGTGTGAAATCAGACTGTGAGTATGGTTCAGCAGGACAACATTTGCCAAGCTGGTATCAGGTCCTGGGCTGGATCCCTTCTCTATTCATTTCTAACATTAATCATCTTGTAAGCAAAAATACAAAATAAAACCTCTATAATGCAGTGTGGGAGACAGGCATACAGAAAAACAATTATACTGCATAGGTATGAAACAGTACAAAATGCCATGGAGCCAGAGGGATGGTTTTCAAAGAAGGTACTGAAATGACATCAGCTCACTGTAATAAATGAGGAGGGCATTCTGACTCTGTCCATCACACTTAAACCTTTCGGTCTGCTTACTTCTAGCACAACAACTTTAAAGATAAAGTGTGGGGAGGCAAGAGCTGAAAGGCAAATTGCAGGAGATAAAGGTGTAACTGGGGACCAAGTGAGATGACCCTTTATGACGAAGTGGTTGTCAATTTTGGCTCATACCACAGGGAACAGGACAGGAGCCTACCACAGAGGGCCCTCAAAGACTCTACCCAGCAGTGTATCAAAGCAGATGCTGAGACCCATAGCCAAACTTTGGGCAGAGTACAGAGAATCTTATGAAAGAAGGGAGAGATAAAAGACCTGGAGGGGACAGGAGCTACACAAGGAGAAAAACAGAACCAAAAAAATCTGGGCACAGGGGTCTTTTCTGAGACTGATACTCCAACCAAGGACCATGCATGGAGATAAGCTAGAACCCCTGCACAGATGTAGCCCATGGCTGCTCACTGTCCAAGTGGGCTTCCTAGTAATGGGAACAGGGACTCTCTCTGACATGAACTTAGTGGCTGGTTCTTTGATCACCTCCTCCTGGGGGTGGGAGGCAGCCTTACCAGGCCATAGAGGAAGACAATGCAGCCAGTCCTGATGAGACCTGATAGGGTAGGGTTAGATGGAAGGGGAGGAGGACCTCCCCTCTCAGTGGACTGGAGGAGGGGCATGGGAAGAGATGAGGGAGGGAAGATGGTATTGGGAGGGGACAAGAGAAGGGGCTACAGCTGGGATACAAAGTGAATAAACTTTAAAAAAAATTAATAAATTAAAAAAGATAGCCTAGACTGACACTTAAAACTTATTAAGAATACCCATAACTGTTATGGTCTCATCTCACGGTGGTAGTGTTGATGTTGTGGACCTTCTGAGGTGGGGTGTTAGGAAGGTCCTTAGGTCATTGGAAGCGTGTCCTCAAAGGAGACTCTTGGACCCTGGTCCGGTCCTCTACCTCTCTTTTCCTAACTTGTGATGTGAGCAGTTTACCCCTTAAGTGACCTGCCATGTTGGGTCACTTGCCCTTGTCAGAGGCCCAAAGTCAGGGCACCAAGTCTTAAGACTTGAACTTCTAAAACTGTAACCAAAAGTTTTCCTTTTCTTCATAAGTAGCCCATTCATAGGTATTTCACCTTGACAACAGAAAAACAATTCATACAATCGCTAATGAACTACTTGGCACTGTGCAGTTTAGAAACATCCATTTAAATTCTCATGACTACCCTAGGAGGTATAAAAATCATGTTAACACCTTCTTACAGACGAAAACTGGGCCATAAATGTAGGCAGGTTAGATTAGTGTGCAGCAGAGAGAGGCTGTCTGATTTTAGGGCCAGAATTAGTAATATTTTTCCCTCTACAATGAACTTTTCTTTAGAAAACCTTACATTCATCAAGACCTTAGAGAATGGGTGGGGTAGCTCATGTCTATAATCACACACTTGATTGAGGCAGAGGACTGCTACCAGTTTAAGGCTGCCTCGGTTATATAGCGAGTTCCAGGCAGTCTTGTGCTAGCTATAGTATGGAACCATGGAACCCTGTGATAAAATGTATTTAAAAAACCATGCAGCTGGCCTAGAAGTTCGATTTTTCTGGATAAATGTAATATACTTAAATAGATCAAGCTAATGCAAACATAACATTTTAAGAAACTCATTCATACCTACTCATGAATAGAAAAATATAGTTACTGGAAATGATTGGTCTGCTGCTGAAGATGAGTAGAAGGACATTTTTCTAGCATATAGAAGGCCCTAGGTTTAGCCCCACCACTACAAAAGAGAGCTTCCCCCCACCAAAAAAAAATAAAAAAAAAAAAGATTAACTTAAAGACTCAATGATATTTTGACTACTCCCTAACAACTGGTTAATATTCACTTTCAAAACTTAAGCATTGTAAACATATTCTCAATTGTAAAAGCAGTAATGTTTTCCAGACACACTATAAACAAGAGCAAGAGGGTGGTAGAAACACTCTAACCTAGTGTTTGATAGAGTGAAGTGGAGACTACTGCCTAGAAAGACTTATAGTCCTGTTAAATATCTTCATTATGTGGCCTTACTCTAGATCCATGGGCTGAAAATTTCAAACGACTCTCTATAATAGACACCCAAGTTATTTTGAGTCCTATTCTTATTTGAGAACTATTATCAAGATATACCAGAACTAAAGGGTATTACATGATTTATAAAATTCAAATTATAACTAGTGTTCTTGACCATCTAAAGGCTAGGTTCATTTTATGTTACTCAACTGGTGACCTCCTAACTTTTGAATAAAGATGATAGCAGTTCAGGAAGTATGTCAACTTTATCATTTCATCATAAGAGTACTAGAGTTAAGAGTAGTACATTTAAATGCTACAAATATAGCCAAATGTACAAATATTTCATGTTTGACAAATGTCATACCTTAGAGTATACACTGAAAGAATATATTAAGAGTATAAATTAAATATAAAGTAAAACAGAAATAGAAAGGATTGAGGTAAATAATGCTGCCAATTGCTGCTGAGAGCAGTAAAGTTTGAGGAATGATAATGGAGTCGTTTGTCAGATAAGCTGGGTAGTGTCTGTGATGAGAGACATATATAGAAAGAGATTCAGGCACTGTTAATCAAAATTATTTTAAAAGATCATAAATTTCCATTTTCACTGAAATCAATACTGAGAGGGATTTGCTATAATAGAAACAAATATCTTCTATCAAAGACCTTTTTTTCCTAACAATTAATAATTTTCCTGCCATTTTCAATATCCCAAACCTTGCCATTTAGAGCATTTCTCAAGTGCCAACCACTAATGCTTGTACATGTGTATTTCTAGTTTCTAGGTGGTTACTAGTAACCCAATTTACAAAGCTTCAAAACGATCAAGAGACAAACTTGGGATATGAACACAAATCCAAATCTTGGGATATGAACTTAAATCTAGGGTTTATTTTTAAATTCATGCATATATACTATGAAATGTGATCTACTGCTAGTTCCCCTCCAATTCTTCCCATATCCCTCAACATGTCCACACTTAAAAATGTACTTCCTTTTTTAAAATTTTGATAATCCACCAAATGCAGTTTTGCTGCCCATATGTGCATGTACATGGACCAGTCACTGGAACATTAGGTGTATCTTCAGTGAAGGATTCTACCTCTCCCTGTCACTATCCAGTGCCAATAACTCCTGAGATTATGTACCTCAAACCACACTAGAATTTTGTGTAAAGTCTTGTGTTGGGGATTGGTCTGTTGCAATGTATTCTAATGCTAATTACTGGCTCCCCAAATCTGGGTACTGCCCAGAAGAGCACATTTCCTCCCAGAGGAACACTTTCTCAATTATACCTGTCTTTGTTATGTAACCTTGCTCTACCTAATTTAAAGCTGCCTGGTTATTAAGGTTGCTGACATCCTGGCCTGGGCTGAAGAGAGGCAGTTGGAGTTTTGGTTCCTGGGCTGAGGTTTGGGAGAGACCATGAGGCTTGGGGGAGGAAATAAGAGGAAGCCGAAGATGTAGCAGGACAGAAAGAGAAGGAAGTTGCTTTGGAGCAGCAAGGCCCATGAACACAGCCATGAGGACAGACTGACTGAACAGAAGCAAACCAGGCAGGAACTATTATGGCAAGTAACTTGGGGTGTGTAGTTGGGAAATAGCTAAATAGCTTCAAAGGCTGATACCTGCCCAGTTACTGTGTCTTAAAGCTTTTGTAATTCCAAAAGGTCTCTGTCTCAATTATTTGGGAAACTAGCCAGGGTAGAGAAGCCCTTGAGAGTCTAATCTCATATTTTTCTCTAACAGCCTTGTAAGGTAACAAAAGCTGCTATGAGATCACAACTGTGATGAGCATGTATCCCATAGGCAGCATTTCACAGCACTCCTTCCTTCGTTCCTTCAGCTCTTATATTCTTCTCACCTTCTCCAAACCTTGTTGGTGCTGAGACTAATATTTATGGCCCATTCAAGGATAAGCATTCAGTCTCTTATTCTCATCACTTTCACCCAGGATGCATCTCTTCAGTGACTGCTGACTACTGCAAAAGAAATTTTCTCTGGCCAAGACTGAGACCAGAGCAGATCTGTCCATGCCAGCAGCAGGGTTGACCAGGAAAGTTTGGGTTGAGAGGTCAGGCCTGGGGAGGATTGGGAATCCCTTTCTGCCTGGGAGATGGAGGTGAGTTGAGCCTAGCAGTCAGATCAAATCTAGGTTTTTCATATAATACTTGGGAGTGTTTTAATTATAATTGTCCTCAATTAGATTCTAGACACAGCAGCAGTCTATGGACACTGGCCTAGGATTCAGAAACTCAACTTCTAGACTAGAATACACAGCCGTTCACTTCTGCTCTCTGCATCTTAACTTTCATATGTATGCATGCATGACAGGCTGGATCATTAGGACGCCATTTTCTTTTATTGTGAAGGCAATTTTTTAATCGAAGTACATAATGGGAACCTGAACAAATAAAAAAAAACTGGATAAGTTAAACACCTTATATCTATGCTAAACTTGGCAAAAAAGTCACTATAACACCATAGTTAGGGAAAACTGAGGCTTAAAGAAGTGAGTATATTTGTCTATAATCACACTTGTGACATGTGACAAAGCTGGGCTTCGAATTAAAGACTATTGTTCATTAACTTCTGAAGTAAATCTTGTTTAGAAATTTCAAGAACCCATTTCATACAGGTCAGTTAAAAAACAGTGGGAAAAAGATTAAATCTTATAGAGGAGAACCAGGAAATAACAAGTCCTTTTTTTTTTTTTCACTTTAAATAATTAAGGCAGGAATGTCTACTGCTTAAAAGGAATTCTCAAATGCCCTTTTAAAAAGATGCCAACACTTAAATCTATGTGCCTTACAACCAAATGCTCTGTAATTCATTAAGTGTCCAAAATCTTAAGCATTATCAGATATGTAATATGAAAAATGACACTTTCATTCTTATGGTGCTGACTCACTGATTGCAGTAAGTCTAAAGTTCATTTTTTATGGCCAAGGAATCTTAAGACGCACGTACAGCTCAGGACAAAGAGCATCCTTTCCTTCAAGAATGTATCTTGATGCAACCAAACACCTATGTTAACTGTTATTAAAAATTATCTCCTGACAGTGAAAAACAACTTCAATTCGGAATGTAAGTGCCATTCAAGCTATGTTGATCCTATTCAGTTTTAATTTTTTTAATTTTAACTACTTCATTCAGTAAGCATGACAATGCTCTGTCACCATTAATGAAGCGCCTCTGGCACTGGTACTTATACACTAGAAACTGTGATTCACCTTATTTTTCACTTGTAGAGGTCTCACTGTGTAGCAGTGGTGAGGGTCAGAAGTCAGCCTGCCTGTTTCCCTAGTGCTGGGTTATTAAAACACATGTGGCACTCTTCCCATCTTGTGCTTCGCATCGTGAGGGACTAGGTAGTTCTTAAGAATTCACTAAATGATGTGAAAACACTGAGATGGGCAAGCACGCCTCCATTTACTGGTGAAGTAATTAAACATGCAAGCAGGTTGCCAACTTAAGAGCCAGCACAGCTCTTAGAAACTGTATCCAGGTGTCTTGGAAGGTAAGCACTGTGCTTCAGAAAAAGGAGAAGGGGCAAAGTAAGAGAGACTTAGCCTTTTACTTGTGTTAAGTGAATAAAGGGAAAATACAATGCTCCGTCCAGGTACTTTAATCCACTGCCATTTCCCACGACACCATGCTGGCTTTTGGATATTAAACCCTTAACAATGAAATGTTATGAAAACATGTTATGGTCTGCATGAAAACGACCATTTACAAACCTCAGGGCATTTAGCATTTTGTAACCATTCAGTGAATAATCCCAACTATCCCCACTTTAAGAAGATGGAGTGGTCACCATAGGCTGTATAATGAGACGTTTGAGAACTAGAAATGAAACTATGCTTTAAGATTTTGTTCAATCCAACTTAAAATTTAAACGTGGAGGGGGGAGTCTTCTGTTTTTAAAGAGTGGAGGTCAATTTCAACCCCAGTACGTCAGGTTTTTTGATCATCACATAGTACTTCGTTACGACTTCTAGTAGCTTCCATGGTATTTTATCTCACTTTTGAGTACTCGAGTTCCTTATGAGCAGGACCACATTGTTAGCCTCCCTAGATGCACTGCCGAAAAACGGGACCGAAACACAAAGGTTAGATCGATGGTTCCTGCCCAGACGCCACCGACACGACCCCACGTCCCTTTTCCCTTTCCGATATAAGTGACACCCCAGGAAATAAAACTGAAAGCGTTCCCAGGGAATCAGAGCTCGGACAGAACTTGAGCAATCGCCGAGCAGCGAAGGCCGAGGAAGAGCCCGAGGCGCGGGGCTGCGGGCACGGAAAAAGGCGGGCGTCCGGACAGGCGACAGCCACCAGGCCGCCCCTGGCTGGCGGCGCGCTGCGGGCGAGCGCGAGAATCCACTCACCCTGAACCCTGGCTACGCAGGGTCGTCCCCAAGGCCACCGGGTTTCGCTTCCCCAGTGTCTGCCAAGCGACTGAAAACAAACCGGGTCGCCAGGGGTCACCACGGGCTTCCGGTTTCCTCGACGACGGGGCCGCTTCCTCCGTCAAGGTGGCCGTCACAGGTGCGCCGAGGGAGCCCCATGTCTTCGGCGCCGGCGCCCGCGGGCGCGCAGTCCCGGCCCTGGAGGTCACAGACGAGCCGAGCACGAGCGGCCCGGGGCCGCCAGAACAGGCCCGTTACCCAGCAGCACGCGCGCCAGCTCCGGGGCCGCCCTCCCCGGAGGCGGCGGGGCCGACGGGCTTCCAGAAGGGTCCACGAACGCCCCGCAGCCCACGAAGGTGCCGCCGCCGCCCACAGGCTACGTGCCAGCGCAGCACGACGAAACCGGAAGCCGGACCTCAGGGAGCGAAGGGCGCCGCAAGCCGGCGCGCTAGCGGGGCGGGGCGTACTACGAGTCCCATGAGCCTCTGCGGTGGGACCAGGCGCACTACGAGCCCCGTGAGTCTCCGCGGCGGGGCGGACTACCAGTCCCAGTGGTCTCCGCGGCGGGTGAGGCGGTGCAGCCGGCCGCGGGGAGGCGGAGTGGAGCTGAGTGAGCGTGGCGGGCCGGCGCCTGCTGGGCTGAGGCCCGCGTGCAGGGCGCCCTCTAGCGCGTCTTCCCACTCAGGGGCCACTGGGAATCCGTAAGGTGGGTCCGTGCGCCTCAGCTAGGAGGCCGTGGCTGCGAACCCCAGAGCTTACGCGAGTCTGGGGTCCCTGGAGCCCACGCAGGCTCCTGTTTCGGGTCGCGTGGCCATCTCCTCGGTATCTTTGAAGCAAGGTCGCTGTGTTCTGCCCAGGGCCCGTCACTGACTCATTTGTAGTCAGGGACATGGCCAGTTCTTGACTTGTTCTGGCGTCCTTACAGTGTCCGCTCTCTTGGTTATTTCTAGGCAAAAATCCCTCCTTTTTTGAGGCAGGATCCTATGCTTCCCACAAAGGCCACAAACACAGACAGGATTTTTTCACCACCAGGCGAAGAATTCTATCATCTATAATTCTCGCTGTCTATAGCTGACTAAATCTTCATTTTTTTAATTTTTTTTTTTAATTTGGGAAAGGGCCTCGGGTAGCCGAGGCTAGCCTCAAACTCTTGAATTTCTTGTCTTCCTGCTTCTGTCTCCCAGGTGCTGGATTTATATGCATCACCAAACTATGCCGTGCTTGGGATTGAACCCGAGCTTATGCGTGTTAGGCAAGCATTCTACGTAGTTGCCTCTCTCGAAGACATTGAACTAAATGGTTAGGCTTAGATGAACTGGTTACAGTCTTAGGAGTGGCAGACAAAAGAAAGTCCACAAGCTCTAGATTGTTTCTGATTAAATATGAGAGTCATACTTACAGAAAGTTACTGACAGCTAGGAAAGCTCAAATTTCTTGGCACAATACTATTTTGTCAACTGAAACCTTAAATTCTGTCAGTGTTCTGTGGAAGGTCTTTCAGTATATAATATTGCCTTTGGGTAGGTCCCCTTTTCAGTGGTGTAGATTTGTATTTGAACAAGAAAAAATAGGGACCTTGGTATAACTTATGAGTGTGGCTCAGCTCTCTTTGAGGCAAATATTTATTACTAGGGTTATTACAAGTCTTATTGTAATTAATTAACTTGTTTGAGCAATAAAAACCTTATTGTTGTTTTTAATGTGTGTGGTGCTTTGCCTCACACACATGTGTATGTGCATGCAGTGCCCACTGAGGCCAGAAGAGTTGTATCACTGGATCCAGAGTTAACGGGTGTTGTGAGCCTCTGTGGAGGTCCTGAGAATTGAACCCAGATCCTTTAAGGAATAGCAGCCAGTGCTCTTAACCTCTGAGCCATCTCTCCAGCCCCAGCTTTTTTTCACTTTTTAATGAGCTGCATCTGTGCAGAATACTGTAGTTTGAATCAGTAACAGCATAGTTTTAGAGAAAGGTTGTAAGTGTGTTTCTGATTCAAATGGTATACTGGAATTTCATCATACCTCTCTACAAATCACTTTTCTGTGGTTTGTTCTATATTCTGAATACTGTACTCTTTGTAGACCTTGTTAGGTATGACTCTTAAGTGTCATCCAAACAGAATTAAAGTGTCAAAATTCCTAAGCTCTAATGGCATGTTAATGTCATCTTCATGTTAATGTCATCTTCAATGTCATTTTATCACTGTGGATTTAAAAGCATCTTTGGTACATGTCACATGCACAGGCCAAGTTTTTTAGGGAGAGAATGGTTTTCATAAGAAATATTAAATATTAAAAGTTTGTAAAATACTGCCAGAATCAGAAAACTTGTTACATAAGAAAACTCGAGGTATAAGTTACTTTGCTCCTTCAAGGAAGGAAGGGGTTGTTCAGGCTCATAGCAAGGGTGCAGCGCATCATCGAGGAAGAGGTCTGGTCACACTGTGCCCACGGTCAGGAATCAGAGAGGGGAGAATGCTGGTTTGCTCCCTTTGCCGTTTTTATCCAGTCCAGTAGCCCAGCACATCGATTTGTGTGACACACACTTAGGATAGGTCTTCCCTTCTTGTGTAACCCAGTCAAGACGCTCCCTCACAGACAGGTTCAGAGGTTTGTTTCCATGGTGATTTTAAACCCGGTTAAGTTGACAATCAAGATTAACCAACACATCCCTTGCCAACTTGACAAACATGTCACTTTAAATCATAGCACTCCATCCCTGTCCCCTAGTGTTTCATTTTCATCTCATAGTGAAAACAAAAAAAAAAACAAAAACGCTTACTCTTCCTTCCAAGGTCTCCATAGTCTTTAGCAGTTCCAACATCATTCAGAATGTCAGGGCAGAATCTCTTCTGAGGCCAAGTCATTTAACTGTGATACCTATCCCCCTTTATATAAAAAAACCACATTACATCTAGCATAAAATGGCACAGAAGAAATAATCCCATTCCAAAAGTAGGGAATAGGGAAAAAATAAGAACAGGTCACACCAAAGTAAGAACAAAACCCAGTAGAGTAAACAGCATGCCTTCAGCTCCATGTTCAATATCTGGGTCTGGAGATGGATTCCTTTGTGTTCCAAGGGGCTTACTTCCCACCCAGATCTGCTGCCTGTAGCAACACGGCCTCTCTCTTGGCCTTTCTCTGCTCTGTCCCAGCAGCCTTCCTCAGAAGCTGACCCAACCTTTCTGACAATTACACATTGTTGGGTCTCCATTGCAATTTAGACTTCACTGTCACAGCTGTGGTCACTTCATGCTATGGCCAGTGGCTCTGAAATGTCCCCCTCATTTTTGCATTTTTCATGCCTTTCAAGCCAGTACCATGTAGAAAACACTGCTGAGTTCTGCTACCCCCTGAAGATGTAAGCTGTCCCGTGTTCATCTATAGCATATGGGTTTTGAAAATTGTTTGATTTTTCTTATTTTTATTAGTTTTTACCTTTTCTTGAAAAAAATTTGAAGATATATTTTCTCGTATGAAAGTGTATGTATGGTGGCCTGTGCATAGGAGTGTGGTCCCTACAGAGGCCAGAAGAGGGATTCTGATCATGTGGCGCTGCTTCATGTGGCTGTGAGCAGCTCAGTGTGGGTGCTGGGAACTGAACTCCAGCCTCTGCAAAAGCAGTGCATGCCCTTAACCACTGAGCATCTCTCTAGCACCTCCTTGAAAATTTCTGAAGCAGCAGAATATAGTTGCAAGGAACCCTAGCCTGTAATCATGCCAATAAATTTTATTTCCGTGCTACTTTTATTTCTCCAACAGAATGAAATCCACCAGTGATCTTCACTATTTTGAACAAGATGAAAAATTATTATTAAGCATCTTAGAACTATGCTAGAAGCTATCTAGCAGTATCCGCATAAACTAGCCTCTAAATGATAGTCTCACACAGATAATAGGCTGTTAATAAGCTTTTGTTAAATCATTAAGTGTAATCTAAAGTTGACTTATAGGCACAAATTTGTTAATTAGGTAAATGAATGAACAATGAGTGTTAAATTTGCATCATAGAGGAGATTAAGGATAAATGCACTTTAAAGATTAGATGCAAACTAAACATCTGAGTTCATCGTTTGAGAAAAAAATCATGAAAGACAAGATAATTAAAGTGCTCTCATTCTGCATTTGTTCTTGCGTATTCCAATTTTCTTATCTAACTACATTTAAAAAGGGTCTAAAAAGGAAATTTCACATTTGTTGTATTGTCAGTATGCCAAGCACTAAAATGGGCTTTCTCCTAGACTGTTTTTTTGCATGTGTATCTGTGTTTATGCATGTTCTAGTGTAGGAATGTGAATGTCTGTACACAAACTTGCATGTTTGTGTACATTTGTGTATGTGGGCTCAAGGTTTATGTTAGATGTCTTCCTTGATTTTTCTCTATATTTTTATTAATCAAAATATTTAAAAGTTTTTATTTTGATCGGTGGACCTTATTTTTGTACAAAATAGTGGACTTCAACATGACATTCATACATATGCACTGCGTACCTTAAGCACACTGTCTTAGCCCCATCTACCCTCCCTCGGGAGTCTCCATAACTGATATATAGGTTCTTTTCTACTTTCATGTTTTCTTTTCTAAAATGTTGATTCTGCATGTAAGAGAAAACATGGAATTTGTCTTTCTGAGTATTAACTATTTTGCTTTGTAAAATTCTTCCAGTTCCAAACATCTTCCTGCAAATGACGTAATTTCATTTTTCTTTGTGGAAGAATGATACTGCACTGTGTATACATGGCTCATTTTCTTTACCCACTGATTTGTTGGTGGGCATTTAGGCTGACTGAAGTCTGGCTGTTGTGACTAGTACTGCAGTGAGGGTGGGTGTGCAGGCGTCTCTGTTTTGTGCTGACTTAGGTTCTTTAAGCTGTACACCTATGTGCGGCCTCACTGTATTGTAGTTCAAGTTTTAGCTCAGCGCAGGAAAATCAGTGTGGAAGTAGTGTGATGTGAAGGCCAGTAAGCCAGTGCTATAAGTTTCATTCTAGCTTCTGAAAACCCTCAAATCAAGAGAGATGGGAGCAGAATGTGAATGTCCTAGCCCAAACGTTAAAAGAGTGAAGTCAGTCCTTCCTTTGCCATTTTGTTCTGTTGGTGCTTCTGAGACTGGGTGATATACATTCATCAAAGGAGGGCCATCTGCTTTAACTGTCCCCCCCAAATTGAAATGCTGATGTAGTCTGAAAATATTTACACAGATATGCTAAAAAAAACACAAAAAACAAAACAAAACAAAAAAACAAAAAACAAACAAACAAACAAACAAAAAAACAAACCGCCAAGCAATCCAATGCCCCAGTCAAATTGATATGTAAAGTAGCTGTATAATCTGAAAGTCTGAGATCAAGGTGCCAGTGTGGTTAGGATGACTGAGAGCTTTTGGTTGAATGG